CTGTGTTGGTTGTTTTATACAATTAACACAATTAGTTTCTATTTGTTTTTTCTTTTAAATGCCTTCCTGAAGTTATGACACAATATTTTGGGGCAATCTTTGGAATTACTGGACACTCATATTTATTTCTTTAGCACTATCCACAAAGAATGTTTCACTTTGACTGCAGTTTGGCAGGTTTCTAAACCTGAATTTCAGAATTCATTAAAACCACTATGAATGTTTATCACAAAGTACAAGCAGAACATCACACTTGCATAACATGAAAATGAACTGAAGGCTACATTGTTCCATACTTTACGACATGGGGACAACATGCTTCCTGACATTGCATCTCCTACAGTATTTTCTTCTTCAAACTTTTCCATTTTCCCATAAATTTGTTCTCTGAAACAATTAAAGATCCCCAATTACATCAGTAGGTGCTGGGAGGAACAGCAGGAACACTACCTATAACCACCCTTAAACTTCATTGGGAAGGCATTTTGTCACATAAAAAAAATAAAATCTTCAATCTGTTCTGAGAATAAGCTGCCATTCATGTGTAGGAAGGCTAACTGAACTAGCTTAATTTTTACTTCCACCACAGTAGAGTAGCTTAAGTATATATTTGCATGCTTGTATTTATAGGCATACTTTCCATTTTGCCATTGTACTCAAAATTTAACAGCAGCTTTCAAGTCTGTTCAAGGTAAGTGGTGGTAATTGTCCTGTACTTACAGCAGAGTCATATGAAAAGACAACAAAGTAATGCAAATCAAAAAGGGGTTTCATAAGAGTTTGTGTTAGAAATTCTAAAGAACTGCAGTCCAGTAACAGGCAATCTGTGGGTGGGCTCTCTCCTACACACTTGCTTCTCTCTAAATACTGACTGTAAAGGGAAGTGCTTCTTCATTCCAAAATAATTAGCTTAATGAAAAGTTAAAAAATTTAAAATAACCCAGTCTTATTGTTAGGTAGCACCCAATATACCACGCAACCTTTACTTTGGTACACGTAAGTTCCTTCCAAAAGATAAACACTATGTACGGCTACTCTGGGAAGGCCACCAAGTTCTATGTGCTGTATTCTACCCCTTTAGACAGACCAGCCCTCTTCAGTAGCGATTTAAACACCAGCAACTAATTTTAGGCATTATATAAAAGAAAATCTTGGCAGGCATGTGCCATTCATTGTATTTAGTTATTGTATGTTCACTATCCAAACACACAGTTAAGTTTCATGTATTGATATACAGTCTTCTAAAAAAATATCCCTTTCACGTTCTCTTTAATAAACCATGTGTTCAAATGTTTGCAGTTCAACCGTAAGTAGCAGGTGTCTTCCCCTCGCCCCCTCCCTAAAGGGACTTCTTCTACTTTAATATAAGGTATTGTAAACCTCTTGTTCAAAAAGCAAAATTCAGAAAAACTTCTTAGCCAAACACCTTTTCAAAATTGCTGTCTGGCATGGCACAACCCTTAGCAGTTTCTTTTGGTATAGTAACTCTTGTATTTTTCAGCCAGGTTAGGTCTCTGTGAGTATTTTAGATTTAAGGCAGACAACACACAGTTTAGAAATACATTAGCACACACTTGTCATGGTATGGCATTTTCAGTAGACATCAGTTTTTTATAAATCATTGTGCATTTCACATTTCAGAAAGATTCTTCAGTGTTTAACATCAGCCTTTTCCCAGCTGTCTTGTTCTTCTACGCTTCTGCTTTTGCTCTCAGAACCCTATCCTACAGCTGTTTGTGATCATACATTCCTGAAAAGCTTGCTTTCTTTACGCAAAAGTATAATTTCTTCATACAGTAACATCCTTTCCCTTACATTTCAAGGCAGTTGGTCAACATCTCAACTAAATGCCACAATAAAAAAACTTAATTTCTGGAAAAGACTAAAATAATTTTTACATATCTTTACAGTTATATTCTTCTGCATGTTTAGTAACAATTATCTCAACTATGGAAGCTTTTAATTAGTACTAGGACTTGACAAGAATATGGGGTTTTTTTTCCTGAAAATTCCTCCTCTGACTTATTACATGACTGTTGCAAGGTTGCAGACTATATTTAAAAACTAGTTTTGAAATTTAGCATATTTATACTGATAGACAACAAACCAATATTATACTAGACAATATTTGTTTGCAGAGATTCTGTAAGATATGTTGTGCTCTTACAGAAAAATTCTTTCACTTCAAATTTAAGTGCAAAGCAGTAGTTAACGTTTTAATTCTACACTGTAGCAGCAGTAATGTATGCATAAACTAGCATTTTTTCTAAAAAAAAGAAAAAATCACAGCATTTTGGGTAGCATAATGATTACACTAAAGTAGGACAAATGCAATGCCAACTTAAGAAAGTTTCTATGACAAAGAATCAAGTCTGTTAATACAAGGGCTATGTAAAAATACGGCATTATACAATGGTACTGTAGATCTGGCAGCTTTCAAAATGCAGTGCTGGGGGGTTTTTTCGTTTGGTTGGTTGTTGTTTTTTTTTTAAAAAGGTTACAACAATTGGCAGTAATAAATTCAGCAAAATCACTGCATTTACATCCTCAACAGCTTTTTAAGAAAACCATTTGATCTGCTCTAGGACCTAAACATTGATGCTGCAGAGCCCTAAGCACTACTTGGTCTGATTCGCCCAGGTAAGAATACTCACCCTGAATGACGAAGCCCTTTGCACGGATGTTTTACAAAAGACTGTATGTTCTTGACCACCAGCACAAAATTATACTGCAGTGTAAAGATATGGCCTTCTCTAAAAATTATACAGTTTTGAAGTAAAAAAAATGCCACACGACAATGATCTTTGAGTTCAACATTATATTTATGCAATCAAATAGACTATGTAATCAGTCATACTGTAGTAGAACAAGAAAAAGACTTTATTCACTTGAAAAAATAGCCGACTGGAAGATTTCTTCATTGCATTACACAAACTTCCCTGAGATTTTTACATAAATTACATTTAGTCTACTATATATTGGAAACCAGTTAGATACTGAGTGTCATACACTGCAAATTTTACATAATTTCTGCATACATTATCCAGCTAAAATGCTGTTTCAATGCTTTAAAGCTTTATCTTCTGTTACAAAACCCACGTACACAACAGATTACAAATGCAAAGACATTTTTTGCACAAAATTTTAAATCTTCAAAGCCATGTATAGAAATGGAGAAAACAGCTGTTAGGTTGAACAAAGCACTTTAAAGTTCTTTGCAGCTTAAAAACTGATTGTGAAATTAGTTTTAAAAATTATATATGCAAGTGCTTGGTGGCAAGAAAACCAACAGAAATATTACATGAAATGGGCAGAAAGAGGCCCGATGCTGCCCTCCCTATTTAGCAATCTCCTATATAATAAAATCATAATTCTGTATAAGTGATTGTGGGAGAGAAACATCATAGTGGTACAAAACTGCTATACTGGCACTATGTTACACTAAGTAAGGATTTTTTTTTAGGTTTTTTTTAAAGATGAGGTACTTAAACTTCTGATAAGATGGATGTAGTTAAGCACAAATCTTAAGGACACCCCACAGTGAAAGTAACTGCTTTATTTCACTGACTCACTGCCACAAATATAAAAAATGAACACTTAATTTTAAATACAAATCTGGATGTCAGGTCAGTTTGCTAAGTTTATATCCCCTTAATTGAACTTCTCTCAGCAAAAGTCCAAGAAGAACAAGCATTGTACTTTGCAAACAATAATGCTTAAGAATAAGTAAAAAAAAAAAAAAAGATTATTTGAACTAAGAATAAACAAAACCTGCAACTGTACTGCTTTGAGATATAAGATTATCCCCAAGTTTTATGCCTGAAGGCAAAATCGAAGAGCTGTCTTGTCCATAAATTTGTTAGACTTATTTCAAAAGCTGAATTATACAGCATAAGTTACCTGTTCAGATAGCTCTGATGTCCTTCCAGTTCTCAGTAACTGGGATCATGTACTTGCCCCCTGCTGAGTGTGGAGCAATTGCACTTGTAATTCCTCCTTCCAAATAGTCTTATGTTAGATATTACCACAGAAGGAAATAGGAGGTAACCTGGGCCACTTTATCACAAAATAGACTTGATGTAGTTGTGACTGGCTGTATCAGATACCAGGCCATAAACATTCTTTTTTGTGTACTGGAAGAAAGGTATACGGTGATCATCTTAACAGCAAAGTGAGGAACTGTGAAATGGAGGGCATTTTCTAGTTTTTTAATTCTGCTTTAAAAAAGTTCCCAATTGATAGATAGATTTGTGACTGCATGAAAATTACAAAGATGGAAAGAATTAAAGAGCAGCATTTAAAAGCAGTAAGTTTAGTTTTTTCATATTCAGAAACAAACTAAAGACACTGCCTTGTATAAAATGGCTTCATTTCACTTGTTATCACCATATCTTCAATTATGTAAAGGGAATCTACTACTCATTCAGGGAAAAGAAGAGTAAGAAAAACTGGGTAACATTTGCTTTGTCATTTTAAATTAAAATTTTCATATGGATGAGTAGGTTTTCTGGCTCTCCAAATTAAGAACAATTTGCTCCCTTCCCCTCAGAATACTTACATCACACAGCCTATTATATCTCTTTGCATATACTGCTGGCTGGTAACTGATTCAGACAGACACATTAAAAAGTTCTGGGTTACATAACCCCTTCTATTTTGTTATACAACAAAGATATTTCTGCATCAACAATGAAAAAATATAACACTATATTAACAAACAGAAGTCCTTGTGCAACACACAAAACAGGGTGCCAAGTCACTATACACTCAGTGTGAGAAGACTTCTACAAGTCTTTTCTGTGCATCATCCCCATTTCAGCAAGGAAATACACTGTCTTCATCTCTTAATCTCACCACATTTTAAGTCACTACTTTTTTGCATTGCCAAGGAAGGCAAATAATGGTGTTGTAGACTGACCATATATTAAATTATTTTATATAGAAAAATAATTTCTCTCCCTATTGAGAAGTTCACCATGTTCTCATAGCAACAAATATATCCTGATAAAGAATCCCAGCAGGATTCCTTAGTATCCAGATTGAGATAGGACATTTGCCACACAGATTTTACTTCCAGCAAAAGTAAGATGCACACGTGTACATATGTCAATTATACACAGCAGACCAAGTACATTCTGTTCTACATTCCAACACATCCTCTGAAGAAAGGACAGTTTTCTCATCCACCCATGTTGTCCCTTATATGATCCACTCGCTGAGCAAGATCCCTAAAGGTGGGGCGCTGGGTAACATTATTGTTCCAGCATTCTTTCATGATAGCATAAATCTGGAGAAGAGACAGAGAAAATTGGTAGTAGGTAAACAGATGTTAGAAATAGTTAATAGTTACTTTGAACTGTTCAAAAGAACATCCGACTTCCCTTTGTGCTTCCAAGCAACAGTGGCACATGAGTGTGACTAAAGTCTTGCTATACAAATCAGTTTATCTGCTTGATCCCCATGACAGCGAGAAGTGAGGATAGTTAGCTCTGCAAAACCTCTTATTATAAAAGGAGATTTATGTAAAAAGTTAGTACGGAAATTCACTCAGCTAGTTTTTGAAACTTAAGAGACTTACGTTATTTTGTGAAGTTTTTATCTTCTTGCTTGGTCTTATTGTTTTGAAAGCTCAAAAATGTTTAAAATGACAAATGCTATACAAGTCTGACCAAAAATCAGATTTACAAAGACAGCAATTCTAAATTAAACTTCCCCTGCAATGTTAACATGCACTTCTCCACATTTGCATGTTATATTCTTAATTATTCTTCATATATAATCAGAAATAAACCAGAAAAGCTACTGTGCAAACTGAACCCACTTCTAGTAGATTTAAATGATTTTTGGAAGAGATTTCCATTACAACAGGCATTTGGCAACAGTCTTCTCTTTCCCCAAACACGTAGGTGATACCTGGTCACAAACCAACTTGCCAAGGTCTTCACCTGTAATCTTCTCACTAATTTAACCCAGATCATTATTACCAACTTCTCATACTTCCAAGAATTTTTTTATAGGTTGCTTAAGAACAATCTGAACAGCTCCCAGGAAAAAAAGTAGCATCAGTTCCCTATTTTTCAGCAAATCTGAAACTCCTGCACTGATCAAGCTGCTTTAGACCCAAGTCTCGAGCAGCTTGTAAGCTACAGACATCTGGCAGATTTAATGATCTGACAACTGGCCTTTCAGGATCAAAATTAGAAAAGCAGTTTCTGACAAAAGAGACACATTTCCATCTTACTTTGATATCTGAAGAAATGTCAGACATTGAAACCTTTCTGTTAGTTTGAATACAGTTTCAGTAAAACAGATTATGTATTATCTTATACATGTGACATTCATGTTATCTACAAAAAGCCAAACCTCTGCAATTTAACAATTGCTGTACTCATACATATATTGCAAGAAAGATTACTTCAGAGACTGCTCACTTGATTCTCTATAGGCTATTTCTTCCTCCGTGGCTTCCCTGCCCAACCCGTACCATTCTTTCTCTGCTAGACCACTTGAGCCTGACCTCTCTCCTCTGTCTCCAGTTTTGAATGGATTATTTCTTGACTTACTGCCAAGTGTGCTTGATTTTAAAGGGATGGAGCAATTGATCTAAGCTGGAAGTTATACACGTTAAAAAGTATAACTATTTTACTTACATTCTTTCCCTGCCGATTCACCTACCTAGCCCTACCAGTTTGACTCAAGCTGAAGTGCACCCTGCTTTGAAGAACAGAGAATACCTTCATACTACTTTTAAGTCTTGTATTTTTTAAAACATCTGGACTACTAGCAAAAAACAGAAGAACACTGAATAAATTTGTGTGCTCTGAGGATGGCATTACATACATACACTTCACTATCCATGAAGAACATGAATACAAATCTGAAGGCCCTGAACATACAGAATCTGATTCATATACTTAACTGTGCCTAAAGTCTGCAGGTAGCTCTTGGCCAAGAATGTGTGACAGTGAATAATATACATGATAAACATGAGTATTCCTATGCTTGAGGAGGGAAGAGCAAGAGAAGGAAAATAAAGATAAGTTCTTTAAACCTTGGAATCAAATGTGAAAAGTCTCACATAGATATGAAGATGCTTCTGCTAAATGTTACAGACTTCAAAAGAATCCACAGTTAACAGCTTTGAAAAAGAATCTCTATATGGGACTTCCATGGAACAAGTCCTGTGTACTAATCTTGTTGCCTTAATAAATTTATGTTTTTGAAATAGAAGCCTGAGTCCCCCCGTAGAGCAATCAGTCATAGCTTCTGAGAGAATGCAATCTAAAGAATCAGGAAAGAGATGTGATTACACTCATCATGCAACTGATAAAACAATAGCACAGCCATTCCACTTCTATAAATACTTCAGTAACCTAAGCAGAATGAAACACAAGGTTTGCATGTACCAGGTACTCACCCTTTCAGACTATAAGAAAATAGTAATACAATACTTAACCTCATCAGGGCATCCATCTGGTCTTGGTAGTCGTCCATTATTCTTCAAAAGCTCTATCAAATGAAACACAATCATCTGCCCTTGTTTATCATTGCCAATCATGCGCATGAATTCCTGAAACAGAAGGCCAACTCTCATAAATAATTTTTAAAGGAAAAAAAAAAGGATGCTGCAATATTCTTACGAAGAATTTGTATTACAAAATAAGATTAAACAGGATTAATCAGCAACTACAGGCCAGAAACAGCAGCATAATTAAAGTCAGCAAAAAAGGCTTCAACAAATCTTGCTATCCAAAAATCAACATAACCCAAAAAGCAGATTAACATCTCACTCATATTGCCAGAGATCAAAAGTAAATGAGCAAGTACTATTAACTGAAAATAATTTCTAAGCAGAACATAAAGGAATTATTTTTCCTCCAATACTACATATTTTTTTTTAATGATCCTTGACTTGAAAATGTGGAACAACTGTTGGTAGAATGTGCAAATGGCCAAAGTTGGGGAAACAATGTATCATTACAAAGACTATGTCAGATAAACAGACTGCTTTGGCTAATTGGTAAAATTAATATTTCTTGATACATACCAATAGGATAACCAACCAAAGTGGTGAATGCACATGCAGAGTTGATTTATTCAAAGTATATTCCACCTAACCCATTACTTACTCTACCACTTTCCATTCCATAATCCTTCTGAAGAAGAACTCCAGGTGTCTGCAATGCTTATGTTATTATGCAGGAAGAGATGCCTGTGCCTTGAGAGTTCTTCCTTGATAGCTTACTCACTGTACTGAATTACTAAGAGGTACACTGAGGTCAATGCATAGATTTTTCAAGAGCATTTTTGCCTATCATCATTGTGCAGCTCTAAAAACTACATTTGCCAGGACTGAGACACTGGCCACAGGTGAGGACAGCTCCAGTAAATATAGAAGGTTCCACTCTCCCCTGTTATGCCTGCAGAGGAGATCGTGAATCTCATTTCCAATTGGAGAACTGTTATTAAGTGCGCAAGTAGTATTTTTCTCCATCCCCTGCAAATTTGTCTATAAAGGTGCCTGTCAACAGTCTGCAAAAAGCCACTCTCTTTCTTGAACTTCAAAAACTTACTAACTTGGGTTCTGGTAACATAACAAAATAACCTTAAGTTACCTTATTTAAATCAACTTAATGTTTACATGTTTGTTTGGTTCAGTGTTAGATTTGGAATAGCATTAAAAATACATGTCCATTGCAATGAAACAGTTGCATCTGGGATTACACGAAGGACAAGAAAGAACAGTCTATAATGAGAGATTTTAAATTTATTTTTAAACAGAAGTTACAGGGCGGATAAGATCTGCACAGACTATCAGCTAATTTTTGGATGTCCTTTCCTTCTTATGGCTTGATACTAATACCCTTTAGCATGTTGCTGCTTCTGATTGGATGCTGCCTCATAAGAACCAAGGTATCTCCAGAAAAGGATCAGTAAATATCAACCTATTTATGTATAGGAAAAATCTATGTATTTTCAGAAATTTAAATGAGAAACATTAACTGTGTACTTACAGCTGGTGGGCTTTTGCTCTTGTCAATATACGTGAAGAGTTCATACAAGACCACACCAAAACTCCACACATCTGAGGCCACAGAAAATTTGCTTTCTGTCAGAGATTCTGGAGCGTACCTGCAACACATGGTAAAAGGAATATTGTTCTGTGTAATGTGCCTTTCTGGTTTTGAAGATATTTCTTTCAATGAGACTGGTTCTTTTTTCACGAATAAGTGTTCTTTGTACATAGGCATTAGCATGTCCTCATTTCCTTCCACTACCTTCACTAGTAACTATTCTGCAAATAATAGTTAATTGGTATTGAAAACACAGTTAGTGATAACTATATCCAAGTTTGTCTTTTTTCCAACAAAGTTGTAGATATTTTTCTTATCTGTAATGCAAGTAAACAAGATTTTGATATGATAAAGCCTGGAAAGAAAAATAATTATAGCCAGTAAGCATCCTTCCATCACTTCCAGCGAGTGTTGAACTGCATCCAAGGTACTTCTGGACTTGAATTTTACAACTCCCAATAACATCTACTAAAATGGCATTTTGTATTATTTATCCTTCATATATGGTATTTTTACATGCCTAAGGCAGTCTAAAATCACATGTGCAGAATGGCATTTTCTTTTGCTATTAGGACATAAAATGGTTTTTATCACAGTTAACTGTCAGCATATTTTCTAAGGTATTTGTATGTCTTTATAGAACAGAAGTATGTATTTAGCATTCTGAATACAGCCTACCAATTTCCATTTCATAATCCTTCAGTCTCCCACAGGCTACACAAAGTGTTCTTTCCCTTTCCAAGCTAAGTGCAGCTTGTTGGAGCATTACTGTATTTCAGATTAACTTAGACCTTCTCTGGAAGCTCAACATCCAAATACAGACATCAACCAAAATACTCAACCCAGCACTTCATCCTTGCTAATTACAGCCTGTAGGATTTAACTTGGTCAACAGAGGGTCTATCCAACAGATCTTAGCTAGAATAGATTAACAACTAGTGTTTAGGGAACTGAAAGGTCCAAAACTTTGAAAGCATCCTGGAGAATGGGCCCTTTTAGATTTTTTATCTTTGAATATTTTTCCTGTTGCAGACTATTTCTTTCAAATTTTGGTAATTTTGGGGGGTGTGTGTGTTTGGAAATTATGTTGAAAAGTTCTGTAAGTTCTACATGCTGTTCTGTAAAGTCAAACATCATGCATGTTCACAACACTGGGCAATTGACTTGGAGTTTGCACTTAAAAATTCCACAATATGCAAAAATAATTGTCTGAAACAGCAAAAACTGAAAACATGCCATGATTTCATATACCAAAAGAAGACTTACCAAAATATAGGGCTTTCACCAGGTTCTTTTACTTTGTAGTATTCTTTGTCTTGTGGCAAGACTTTTGTCAATCCAAAATCTCCAATTTTAACTCTGTTCTCATTCTCCACCAAGATATTTCTTGTTGCTAAATCCCGGTGAACATACCTTTTTGTACCCAGATACTCCATGCCCTAGGCATAAAGTTCACAAACACAACAGGAAAAGAGTTACTTTTACCATGAAGTAGCTGCACTTTCCCTAAAGGGCTGAATTAACCTCAAAGTTAAAACCAAGCACAGATTGTTACCACAGTGTGCTTACACATTTGTCTTCTCTGAGGAGTTACTTTTTCCAAATGCAGAGACCTCCCTTAAGTGAAGGGAAGTAGACTGAGCACCTGTCAGAGCCAAGTGTTTGGTGATTATGTAGCTGGATAGTTGTTACAGCTCCTTTCTGTGGCCAAACGCAGTTTGCCAGTGATAGACCGATAGAAGGAGAATAAGATTTGGGCTAAGCTACACAATCCAGGGCACATGAGAAGACTGTACTATTTAACTCCAGTCTCATCTTCCTCTCAGACTCCAGTTACCTCCAAGCAGCACTAGGTGGCATTGCTGTTTACTCACATCCCATTCCAAACCCATTAAAAAATGCCTTATTCTCTTCATTACCCGCTTGTCCCTTGCTATCTTCAAAACCACCAAACCTAGCTTTTTCAAAGTGAGACTCCTGGGCTTCTGATACAACTAGTCTATGTGAATGCTATAACTTTTTATTACTACTACATACTGTACTGAAAACAGTCCTAAAGATTCTCTGATGATAGAGTTTCTGTTAGCCTGGAAAATACCTGTTTTAAGAGAGATACTTAATTGAAATCATGCAAATTCTAAGTGGAAATCATAATCTTGTGACACTCCTCTAACAATGGAATTGAGTTTAATTATGTGATTTCAAATGTTTCCATAATTAAAGTTGGGCTCTCCAGCAAGGGCACCTGAAGCACTTTAAGCATTAAGACATGGAAAAATAAGTTTATTCTTAGCCTCTTCTCCTATCAGCCAGGATTAACAAAATGCAGGGTCAAAAAAGCAAAAAAAGAACATCCCAACAATCAGACGCATGCTGAAGTTAACTTCCTTATGTGCCATTCTATTGTCGGGGTTCTTTAAAGTTGAATATAGAGTCCTACTGCTTGCCATCAGAAAAGCTGTACTAATGGCACAAGCTGCACTAGATGACACCTGCACTAATTAACATCTACAAAAACATCACCATAGCAAATGTAATTTCTGATAATTATGCTTTTGACAGTATGAGATATGCACAAAAAATATTAACTTTAAGTCAGGAACCCTTTCCCAGTATAGTAGCAAGGAAGCAAAACACAGCAAGCAAACACACTCATCTTAATCCCCTGGTATGGGTATGCCTTTAGTTCTCCCATACATTTGAGAGAAAAGCAGCAAGGCAGAGGGAGAAAGATTTTTATTAAAAACCCTAAAATAACAGAGTGACAGAAATGTACAGCAGAAAGAGCAAACATTACAAGAGAAGCAAAAGTAGCTAAAGGAAAGGGGGAAATGTGATCAGTTGAAGAAGGAAAAGTATTCAGATTCCATTTTTGCAATATTAGATAGTCACTATGTTTTTAATTAAATTGTTTTGAAGTAACAGAATGGTGCAAACTGGAGTGAAATCTTAATGCAATCAATATAACCTCTGCTTTGCAGGTTGTACAGCAACAAAAGTGCAAGACATGCTGTAATTCTTAGACTTTGCTTCCCTTAGAAGTGAAGAAGAGATACCTCTTTAAGAGCAAGTCCTACATGCGGACTTCCCACATTCTCACACTGTATGTACCCATGCTTTCTGACATGAAAACAGGATGTTTTCCTACTTAAAGTGTCTGCAGAAGGCATATTCTAGCTTCCTTCCTCTTGGTTGGTGCTTGATACTTAGGAAGCAGTCATTTGATCTGCCATTTTGATTTTTCATCACCATCCTAAAGACCTGTAACATTTCAATGCTTCTTTTATATATGTGTATGTACACACACACTTTACGAACTTTTTTCTTTGTACCTTCTGAATACAGTTCCTTTCCCAAAGTTTCCTGCTATAGTCGCATTGGCTGCAAAGGCCAAAATCCACCTTCCAGTCATATCAGGTACCTCTGCCTCAGAGACCAGGGTCCTGAGATATGTTGCTGCTGTTTTTCCTTCAGGCTTTGGATGAAGCTTTAGATAAGGCTGGAGGATTTATATATGCAAGCTTCACAGCTTCTTATGACAGTGAATAGGGTAGGCACCCTAAAATCCTTCAGGTCATAGGCTGAGATGACCACAGAATAAAACAGGTAAGTTGCTGCAGCCTTTGTATGTTTAAAAATCCCTGTTGCATCCTTATTCTATGAAATAGTCACTGTCACCATCCTCCTAGGTGGTGCTGCTAAGACTCTTCCAGCTCTTTGCTTGAAGGAAGATTGTTTTCAGTGACTTACCAGCACTGATAATAACAGTTGCAGAAATAATACTGAGATCATTTCTTATGCTTGTTACTGGAGAATTACTTTTGTTTTGGAGACACAGATCAGAGGGTGGTCACATGTTCAATCCTTCCTCTCTGTGAAAAGACGGACACTTGCCACAGACTTGTGAACATTTTCTGGTTTCCAAGCTCATTGCACACTGCTTGCCCATCATGGAGTTTTTGCTGGAGACTACGCACCTAGCCTTGCTTCAGTGAAGCACATGAATAGGTGGGATCAGCTGCTAAAAGTGCGTGCAGCATCCTTCTGTACACAGCCTAGGTTCAGTAGCTAAAAGGTTTACCAAGTCAGTCCAGTTTCAAGCACGGAACTAGCAAGCTCTGTTCATCAGGTAAAAGTTTGAATGCCTGGTGATCTCGGCTTTGGCAGAGACTCTCCTGCCTGATTCCTGTCAGGTCTTTTCTGCGGATATTACAGAAGGAAAATACTCTGCTCTGAATGCGGCAGGGCACAATTACCAGACATAAGAATATCTGTGGGCTACATATCCTGAAGAATACCCAGTAAGTAACCTACTGTTTCCACATCCTTGTGGAATATTTCTGGTACCTGCCTTGAGGGTGTGGGGGCGTGGAGATTTTTTCCTTTCCTCTTCCCCTTGCCCGCCCTCCCTTTTTTTTTTTTCTTTCCCTGAACTACTGAACATGCAATGAAATACGAAGTGTCAGTACTTTCTTGTTTCTAAAGCATAGTAAGAGAATAAAACTAGGGTACGCACAAGCCCTCCTTCTGAAAAATGAAATGTCACAATAAATATCAGATGTTTGCTCCCCTTTTCAGAATTTTATCAAGGATGCTCAGTACCAACCATTGAAACTAGCAAATAATTTGTTACAGCTTTGGGCACTTCTATGGCCTCTAGCTCCTAATACAGAAATCTTGTACCTTTGATCTTTTTGCTAAATAAGCTACTATTATTTACAGTTTAAATAAATTTCTTAAACATATACATGCCATTATAGTGATTTCATAGCTGAGTGTCCAAGTTCTGAAAAATCAGTTATAGTATGTCATTAACAGTTTTCCTTGGTGAGTATATTAACTCCTGCAAAATTTTATTTTAGCTCTCATTAGGGAGAAAAGAGGTTTTAATCCTTCTGAATGAAATATAAGCTAAGCAAACTATAAAATAAACACAAATAAATGGAGTATATTCTGCCTCAGTCAGCAGATAGGCCAGTCTCAGCATCCTGTATTAAGATATTCAAAAGTTCGTCCAGTTCTTGAGTACATGAATATATATTGCTACTTTTTTTAGGGTTATGTGGTACTAGCAGCCCAACAATATTATAGAAGATACACCAAAACAACCAATGATTGTTGTTTTGAGACAAATGAGACAAGACTAAAAGAGACAAAAATTTGTTGAAAAATATCAATAATCTGAAATTTCCTACCTTGCATATCTGAGACGCATACAGCAAAAGCTTCTTGTGGTCCAGCCTCTCCTTGTGTTTCTGCAGATAATCTCGTAAACTTCCATATGGTAAATATTCCATAATTAATCTTAGATTCCTACGACCTTTTACAACAACAACAAAATACACACTTAATTTTTCTGCCATTTCCAATGACAAGTTTTGAAATATAAATATTTATAAATGTCTATGAATAAAAGTAATAGAAAATAATCTTAATACCAAAGAACCGATTTATTATAAGTACATCACTATGCAATTTTTCATATATTAATTAACTGCATTTGTTCAGAAAATGCCATCAATACTTTAGCTACTATTGCTAAGGCAAAGCAGAAGTGCCACATGAGTATATCTGTGTTTATGTAATTTCTCCTCATTGCTGAGATGAAACTTAGAATGGCAACTGACATCAACTGGTCAGCAATTTTACCATCTTTAAAAACTTAGTCTGATTTTGAACCCAAGAATTTTCTTCCTACAGTAAGATTCTAGGCAGAACCCATGCTTTCATTCATCAACTTCAACAACATCAACAATTCACTCAAACACATCAGTTTCTGAAGCTTTTTCCTGCCTAGTCTTTTATTGTACAGGCTGTACAAGAATTGGTAACATCCATTCTGGGACATTACATTGAGCAAAAAACAACAGTTACAAAATGGTTGCATTTTCCCCACTTAACTGTAAATTCTTTTTATGCTTTAAAATAAAGAAACTGGGTAACTAGTCAAAATGGTGATTTCTCTAGATCAACCAAATTATGCAGTGAGCTGACTGAATAAAATGTCCACCTTGAACTGAGAAGTAGTATATGAGAGACACTACTGCCTTTGATTTGTACTCTCTAAGTCCTGGTAAAGTTAGGACAAGTCAGTGACTTTAATGAACACTTACCTCTCCGAATTTCTCAGTATGCACACTTAGGTGTACACCTAAAGGTATATTCAACATAGCACATACCTGCACTGTAGCACACTCCTTTGTATTTAACAATGTTATCATGCTGCAGAGATTTAAGTATTTCAATTTCTCTTTCAAAATCCCTAAGGTGCTCTTCTGTGCTGTGTTGCAGCTTTTTAACAGCCACCACTTCTCCAGTATTATCCTGCAGTGGGTCATATCGACACATTTCAACACTGCCAAAATTTCCCTAGATCACAAATGGAAATACTTGAATTAAAAACAAGTCCACAACATTGTCTCTTTCTTAGTGCTTGCTCATACTGCCTCAGTGCTCAGTCTATTAGCATTAAAGTGACCACAATTAACTGAAATGCCATAAAACCTCCCTGAGAGAAAAAGAGTGCAGGATCATAGGTAACAGTTCCATAAGAGTAAGAATCACTCTATGAAAGGAAGCAAAGACCACCAGAATAAACAAGGACAAGGAAAGGAGGACAATGTCCATTCATTTTCTCCCCCTTCTTCACAAATTTCCACTTGCACTTCCAAACTGTCAGTTGGCATACTCCTTTCCTGCACTCGCAAACCCCCCTCATTTAGTTTCCTCTTAGCTCTTAATTCTCTTATTTCTTGGGGGTTCTTCCCCCATTTGTTTCAATGTTCTTCCCTTTCTCTGTTTAAATTTTCTTTATCTTCCTTTATGCAGTCATCATCTACCATTCTGTTCCTCTCCCTGTGCTATGCTACCTTTTATAGCCAACAACGAACCATCTGCAAATAGAAGTAGTTCTGCTACTTTGCTTTTAGGCTTGCTTTCGCTAGTACTTGGAGCCAAAGGAATATGTAGCTATCATGTCAATAAAAAACATAGAACAGCAAGGAACCATTCTGGAAAAATGGTACTTGGTGAAGATCTGTCAGCTGCACTTGGTCATCTGTCTAGGCATGCTTTCACACAGCCACGCTGTAATGACTTGCAAAACTAGTAACCAAATGCTGATTTCTAAAACCTAAAAAATTCAAGGCCTACATATATCTCAAAGATGTTACTGAATTTAGGGACTGCATATTCAGACTTCTCAGAATATGTGCGCACAAAAAAACCCCAACCCCACTAGTTGTCTGCAAGACTCCTCTGGAATATTTTTAAATGAATACCATATATTAAAAAAAAAGTCAGATGCAGGTCTGCATTACTGAAAAAGATTTTAGCCTTTCAGTGTGACCAGATTCATTGTAGAGGTCAGCTATCTTTCCTCTATCTAATGATATTGTGCTACTAAAAAAAGATGTAAAGGAACTGCAGGTTGTGGTCAGATATGACTGAAATTATTAATTTCTCTAACAGAGGTTTCAATGTAAATAGTGTATATGACATCATTGGAAGATAACTGAAAAAAGACAGTTCTTTCCTAGGTAATTAGAAAATTTCAAAACATCCTACCTTGCCAAGCTGCTGTAAAAACTTAAGATGTCTTTCTTCAAATTGTGTTGGGTCCCGATCCTCAAAAGCGCCGGAAAATCCAAGTGCTCCAATTCTCATATTTGGTAACATGTCACTTTCTGTCAACAGCTCATAATCTGAGGGGTAGGAAGAAGAAGGGAAGAGAGAAAGAGAACAGGAGGCACAGAAAAGCAAACAGGAGAATGAAGAAACTACAATCATGGCATGTTCTGCCTTTGCTTGGCACACCCCAAGCTCAGTAGAATATGAACAACCACTTTTTTTGTCCTTGCAAAATACTCTATAGAAATTAATGTTTTACAAAAAAGCCAAATAACTTGTCCTAAGTCAGAGCAAGTCTTGCTTTAATTTCCCAATTTTGTTTTTGCAGGCCTATTGTATTTCAAATTTAGCTCCTATTGTGCAACAACTCCACTACTGCAGAGGGGAGAAATGTAAACCTCACAAGGCCTTGTGATAACATGCATCTTCTACTTGGAAAAAAAGAAAGGAAACTATTTTATTGAGCAAAAAAAGACATTCACAAACATAGCACACTTGGTTAAGAGACTAGACTGTTTGGGATAGACATTAATCGAACTAGAAAACTGCTTTGAACGATAATGCTAACGTTTAATGTGTTCTCTTTTAGCACATCTAAAAAGCACTAACATAGTGTTCTTATGAACTCAGATTTCTGGGGCGGCTTTGGAGAATGGGTATGGGTTGACATACCAAAAAGGAAGGCACCATATGAAAATGAACCGACAGGAATCAAGGCTCTTTTTGCCTAGTGCATTCTTGTTGTATCACAGACTCACCTGGAGTGAATAAACTATTCAAGTCACGTATAATTGCTCTAAACGAAGGTCTGAAATCTGGCTCGTAATCCATGCAGTTGTTTATAAGGTTTGCTAGCTCCGTCCAGTTGGGGGCAGGAAGCTGGTGCCTATCTTCATAAAACTGTAGTTTCTGGAAGTAAATAGATAAAAGCCATTTTAATATACAACCATGAAAAGCTGCAGAAGCCTTAACATTCTCAGCAGAGCAGCCAAAACATGTAGTTCTCAACCTGGACTTGTTATCTCACCAAATGTACATCTGACCAATTCACATCAAAAGCCAAGGCTGACAATGTAGCAAGACTGGCATAATTTAGAGTAATTAGCTCAGAAATTCCCAGTCAGTTACTCATGGAAGATAAGACTATAGAGAAGGATAATGAGAAAAATGGTGTCTCCTTTGCTGGTAATTTCATAAAACCTCAACTGGATGGGTCCAGCAGAAAATTCTATCCACCTGTGAGCTGGCTGAGCTCCTCCAGTTGTAAAAAGCTTCGTGAATATTATGAAAGAATGTGGATTAGTACAGGAGAGGAGGGCAACTTCTGAAATAACTAGATATGTATCAGCTAGGTCTAGGTAGACCTTGGAGCTTATGGTAAGAGCTGATTACACCACCTGAGATCAGGCTTTGTGAGAAGGTAACAGTCCATTTATGAAAATAATACTACAAATCTATGTACCATAGCAAAGGAAATAATCTTTTTGTTTCCAACTAAAGAAGCAAATACATAAGAAATAATATTTTTACGGAACATGTATCCCCTCCACCCCCTGCCCCTAACTGAGACAAAGTTAACATTTCTGGTTTAGCTAAAATAGTAGAATTGTTTGCAACACACAAAGTCTTACAGTATTTAAGATGTTGAATTACTAGAATAATGCCAATTAAAATCCATATACATTGTTAGAAATACTTTTTGCTTAAACTGATACACTGTTGCAACAAACGATAGAAACACGAACAAGAGAATTCTAGCAATGCTGTACTTTGTCCTCATAAAAATCAAAACAAACAACATAAAGACAAACCTGAAGTCATCACTTCTGATCATTATCAGACAGTAAAAGTGTTCTTTTCCTACAGTGGTCACAGGCCACATCACTTTACATGCTGATACTGTTATAACAGCAGATGTTTTAAATTAGAAGTGTCCAAAGAACACTGTTATGCCTGCAGACCCAGTAATACTTACTCTTGAAGAATCCAGGGCACTCAGAGGTTTGTCTCCTCCACTGCAGATTTCCCACAGAGTAGTACCAAAACTCCATTTGTCTGTCGTCAGGCTTAATTGTTTGGGATTCTCAATACATTCAGGTGGAACCCATGGTATTCGTTCAAGAAGAACTGTGCAATCACACAAAAGAAACATCATGTTAAGGTGAATAATAAAATCAGAAAATTCTATAACATACTTGATTTAGTAAAAATCACTTTATTACACATAGGTATTTCATTCTGTAATGTGCTATTAGTACCTTTCCAAGTTTTTGTTCCTGCCTAAAAAAAAAAGCTACATAATATATATAAAAATAATATTTATGACTCAGAATGGAAGACCATTACTTTTATTGTAAAATGAGCCTAATGTTATAAGACTACCTTAACATCATTTCCACATTGTATTTTTGCTCCAACTTCTGTATTTCCCCCACTGTTACCAAGATATAGTAGCTGCCACAAAGGAACTAGATGACAAAGAGTAAAAAGTAATGGTTGGCACATTCTGGCACAGTAAAGGACGCCATAACAAGGAATTTTATACAATTTGATTTTTAAGCTTTTGATACTGATTGTAGTAACAAGTTAAAAGATGGTATTGCACTGATGTAGACTTAGAGGTCCTTAAAATGAGATCTCATAAGATTAAGGTAGGCTCCTCATTTAAAAAGGGAGAGTTTAAACAGGTTATTAGAAAATATTGACCTGCATTGCCTATAGTTTCTTAGATGCATGATTTCATTGGCATGTATAAAATTACCAAGTATAAAGTGTGTTCACTTTTCCAAAATGATTAAAAAGACTAGGTAAAGAACAGTAAGGTGACATCAGTTTCATTAGCATAACAATCTTGCACACACTTTTAATTTCTTTTCATTTAATGAATTTTGCTGTTTATAAGGCATTAGAACAGCCTCAACTGCAGATGATAATCCAGTATTTTAGCATCATCAAGTGGCTTCAGGTATTCACCAAGAAATGCACTGAAGATGATTTTCAACGGCTGGGCAGCATTTTCAAAAGTGCATTTATTTTCAGCTATGAAAGGTCCTCCAAGCTATAAAATACAATTTAATCTTGATCAATAATAGGATACTAAGTCCAGCAGCTTCTTGCATGCAACAGACTTACTCATGGTACACTACAGCATACTAATACCAGTGAGAAAAAAGTTGAAAATGAGAACAACAGGAAAAAACCCTCACACAACGGAGAATTGTGGCTTTATTTCCTGTAGCTATTTGCTGATAAAGAAGATACACTCAGAAATGCTGACTAGGACTGCAGATATTATTTTAAAGTGACAGATGGATGAAGGAACTTACTATAACAGAAGTATCTTAGATAGCGGTCAGGAAAAAAAAACCTATCAAACTTAGTTTTCAAGTCAGAAACATTAAACAAGAAAGCTGACAAAGACTTACTGTCTCTTGGCAAAACTGTAATACTGATGCCAGGATCACTTAGTTTTATAAATGGAAGGTTTCCAGACTTCCTGTCTTCCTCTCTGATAAGCAAGATGTTTTTTGCACAGACATTTCCATGAACAAGGCCTTTATCCTCCTATGAACAGAAATGCATCTTTTACATACTGACAAAAAAATCTTATGGTATTTAAAAGCCAATACTTCACAGCATGAGGGAAACCAGCAAAGAAAATAACAGTCCGATTAAGCTGATCAAATCTCAGACATTTAATCAGTTCCTCAGAGTTATAGTTTCTAGCCAATTTTCATTCACTTTAACTACCTACTTAAACTACCTAAAGTTTCAAGTTTAAAACTACATTATGTATATTAACTCAGAAGTATACCGATCCATCAATATGATCTATTTAAAGTCTGTTAAAGGGAAGATTCATTTAATCACATATTTTGTCTTGAATAACGGTCTTTATGTTGCATTAAATATACTGTAAGGTTGGGACCCAATGCACAAAACGAATGTACTAGCAGTTTGAACAGTACAATGTTTTCCCCTCCCAGTGCTTAACTACTAACACTACCAGGAAATAATTTATGTTCAGCATCATGAGCTGAAGTGGGAAAACTAGGGAGAACTGATTCCTTGAGGAGAAAGAGAAAAAAAAATAAAATACTGGAAATGTGGTTTTATTTCACACTAAACCATAGAGCATTAAAAAAGAATGGGAAATTCAATTACACTTTGTGGAAGACAAAGGTCTGTCCTTGGCTATCCACTAATTATCTGGTATATAGCCAGCCTGTTTTCAAATACCTCCAGAGTTTCAAGAAGTAGGGTAATAGCTTAGCCATTCTACATGCATTAGCCTGAAACACTTGAATTCGGCCATTAACAAACCCAAAGAATACTTACGAGAAAATGCATGGCTAATGCCAACTGTTTGGCTACTTCCAGCTTCCACAAGATATTGATAACGTTTTTGTTCTTTTTCAAATATGTGTCCAAGGATCCAAATTTTACATATTCTTGTACAAGGATGTCTGATTCAAAATGGTAAAAAGAGTAACAATTAAAATCAACAACAAATAATGGAATTTCAGAAAAGATTCATTACTCCAGTACTACCCATCTCTTTCTTTGACACCTTGTTAGTAAACTGAAATTTGAAGCTATATGACATCTGAGTATTGCCACAAATATTCTATGTTCTTTATACTTTTTCAGGGTGTGGAAGTTTACCTAATTTCTTCTCAAATGCAAAATAACTAGATTTAATAGCTTTTTTTACAGAATAGGTTTCTACCTTAACAAAACCAGTGAGCAGCCTTCCACCCTTGCTGAAAGGGCACAATAAATAACATAACTTCTGATAAAGCATAGAAGTGTACTGAAATATCAATGTAGTAAGTCAAACAATGTCAAGTCAGTCAAGTCATTCAGATCATAGTTGTTTATAATCTATATTCTTACTGAAAAATATGCTTTGCTGACAAAAGATGCTGCTCTTGAAAACAGACTAATATGTGCTGTGCACTAAAAAAAAGTGTATATATATGACACATGCCTTCATGCAGTCATCCAGTGAATAACCCGAGAAACAAGATCCATTTCACAGTGCTGCACAGTCTTCATCAGTATCAACACAATAATTTCAAATTGCATGACTGAATTCTTGCCTTCAGCTGCAGTTTTCCACAGAAAAAATAACAGCCTTTCTTCCTATTTCTTAGTAACTGTCTCTTACTAAACTGTAATAGGTCTGTCTCTTGCCTTCAGAAATAGCACCACCTATAGAGGGCAACTGTGATTTAAAGGAGAAATACGTAACCATATACATCTTTAGGGTTTGGTGTGGGGTTTTTTTTTTTTGGTTGTGGTGTTTTGTTTTGTTTTTTTAAATTATACACTTGATCTACCTGAAATTTTATATGTAGTCTCTCTGCATGGTACAATGAATAAACTAGAAAAATCACTTATGGGCATTTTTGCAAAGAACTGGTATAACAAGTTCTTTGCCAAACACGGTGCTGTGCCTTTTACAATCTCAGAGAAGCAACGCCTGAAACAGAATCCACCCCACCTTTTGCAAATTCCTTCTCTCAATGCAGGCAACTGTCTACATAATATGCTTATACAGTTCTTATAAAATGCTTCCTTTTATTACAAATTTCTAATCACAGAAAAACATGGTTTTAGGGCAAACCGACATTTCTGCCCAAAGACTGAATGAAGAGGAAAAACTGCCGAAGTGAGACTCAGCAGGACATATTCAAAGATAGCACACATAAGCATATTACTAGTGTTCAAAATTAAGATTTCATTACAAGATGTTATAAATGTATATCAAGTGTTCTTAAAACCAACCTTATTAACAAACAGTCACAATGCTGTAATCTGAACTGAAAACACATTCTTCTTCTGTAGACAATGCAAAGATTTTACCTTTGTTTATATTTTGTAGTGGTTTTGTTGAAATAATGGAACCTCATGTTTTCAGAATGGGATCTCTAACCCAAACTCCCCAAAGCCATATTTGTGCTCACAAAGTCAGCACATGCGTGGGAAAGGGGGGCAGTTTCTGATCACGGTAAATGAAGATTTTCTTGGGTAGTCAAGCACTTCCCTTTCTAGCTAACCACAGTTGATAAAAGGTAGAAGTGCAATTTTTCTGGCATTTCAAAAGCTAGTTTCAGAAATTCAGTAAAACTTTTCAAAAGTGAGATTTGCGGATAGAACAGACATGACTGAGTCATTTACAGAGGTTACTATTCACACTGATTGTATTTACACAATTTTTTCATCTTCTTTGTTATCATCATATTACTGGTTCTCAGTAGTAATACTACTGCAATGTGAACATGTGTTGGGTGTGTTCAGCTAGTGTGTCAGGTTGTTTTGTTTTGGTTTTTTTTCCCGTTTTTACCCAGAAACAATGGCAAACTAACAACAGCTGTATAAAATTAGTACAAAAAGATAGCTAATTTCTACTTACTCTCCTCTCCACATACGCAGACTCCATAATTTAACACCAAATGTTTGTAAGAAAGCTGGCTCATCATACTTGCTGCCTCAAAGAAGGACTTTGAGGGAGAAGAGAGAGAGATTGAGAGAGAATAAAAAACAGTGAAAACAAACCCCCAAAACATTGCATGATTTCTAATAAATCTATTAAACCACGTACATTTTTAAAAACATTTCAACTTCCACCTCATTGCAAAGATCCTGTGTAACATATTTTATATTGTTTGTGGTTGTATTAGGTTTGGTGGGGTTTTGTGGTGGTTTTGGTTGTTGTTTGTTTTTTTTTTAACTGATAATCCATATTCCAGAGAGGTTAGCAGTCATCTTCTGCAGGCAAGTATATCTCCACATTTTAAAAAGAATCTTCTCTTCCATTTCAGTTAATTAAGTAAAGTAAACATCAGACAAATTCATGACACACTGTTCAGTTTCCAATTTATTCTTTCATAATGTTCAGTTTCCAATTTATTTCTTCATAGCACATTATTAAAAGACCAGAAGTAGTATATCAGTCATCCACTACTGCAAGACCTTAGCTAACCTTGTCAGGGAGGTTTCAGATGGTTTTATTTCTTTAATTTTTTTATTCTCTTCAGTGGCATCTCCAATTATACTTGCTTGTGTACTGACTATTCACCCAACAAAAGGAGGTCAAAATTAGCACGTTTTCATTCAGGTGACTATATTTGCATTTCTGTACTCTTAGTCCTTTTAACAACTGATTTTCACTTAACTGTAGAATGCAAATGTATTAGCTTATTAAAATTAAAATATGGGTTATAGTTTCTTTATTGTTTTCAATTTTTCAAAGTGTACACCTCCATTGCTTTTGAATATTAGGTAAAGAATTTTTTTTTTCCTTTTTTGCTTACATTTTCATACAGATTTGTCTTAAGCAATTGAAAAGTTCAGTAAACAATGGATTGGTTCTCTTGGCTTGCTGTAAATACAGCTAGATTAATTAGGAATTTCATACAATTATATCATCATACAGCTATACAAAACTATATTAATATATTAAACATTACCACATCTTATTAAAGTCTTTACAATTAAATTCTCACATACACAATCTTGGGCTCAATTACATTACCAGTTTTTGCACAAAGGCATTTCAGGTTTGCTCCAGCTTCACTCAAACAGTGAAAAGTCTAAGTCTAATACAGATGATTCTACATATGGCAAGTGTTTCTCATACATAAATACTTCAATATTTTATGACTTGATGTGAAATGTTGATTTTACTGGAGAATCAGTATGACCCCAGAACACTGAAGATAGTCTACCAAAAGAAACTAATTTTACATAAATTATCATACCTCATACACATAATGAATTTACTGTTAAAGATAATTCTGTGGCCATACCACCTCCCCTGTGGTACTTGTATTGCACAAAGAAACTGTTCTCTGGCTTTCAGTGGGTAGCTCTGAATTCTCTGACGGATGGTGAGAAGAGGAGAAATAAAGTACATTCATGTACTTCCCAAAGCCAGTCTCAAATCCACCCTCCCAGTGTCACATGGCCAAGAATGAGCTTGGTTCAACATACAACCCTCTACCATATAACAAATACTAATTTACTGTAAGAAAAGTAATGTTCAGCATAGCATGGACAAATGTTGTATAGTAGTCAATGACACCAACCTCAGAGTAGTTTCTATGCACTTTATCCAGCACCTTTAAAAGAACTTCAGTTTGATGGAGCTGGCCATAGTCTCCCACTTCTTTCCTTACACCTTTGAAGATCTTAGTAAACGTGCCCTGTCCAAGACTCTCCTCCTAAAAGACAGGAAGGATACAGATGAGAAAAAAAAATAAAATCAGAAATCTCCACCTGTTTTGCAAAAGATCTCTCAAGGATCCACCCTAAGTAACGCATATGTAAATCTTTACACCTAGCGCACCTCTAGAGTGTCAGATTGAGGGGACAAATAGGCAACTGTACCAGAAACAGCTTAAATCTTTGCTTATTTTATATTGACTCCTCAAGGATCTCAGAAAATAACTTGCTGCAAGAACCAGACAGGAAGGAGTTGCTGTTATAAAGATGTAATTAGACATCCCTAGAAGTAAAGAAAACAACTGCTACTTCAGTCAAAAGGACACTTATTTAAAAAACCCAATTAATTGTATTAATGCAAAATTTTAAAAAAATTCTTTTCTCTCACAACTTTAGTGAAAGATTACAGCGAAATCTCCTAGCTCTGTTAAGGCTCTTTTAAACATATACTGAGTTTTTTAAAACTTAGTATGTATTAAACCAACCATCTGCAGTGGAAGAAGCAACTAATGGACTTACAAAGATCAAGTCCTCATTCCGGATTTTGTGAAAGACCATCTGGTTGACATTGTTGTGTCTCTGTAGTGTAGGTGATGAAGGCACATCAGAAACACTATTGCTTCTGAAGACCAGGAGATTTGATTTATCTGGTAGAAGAAAGAGAGTAGGCAAAAGAAAGACAAAGTAAATTTGTAAAATATAAAACTAAACTAATATTATTTCAGAAGGATTATTAATGAGAAGCTGTTAAACTAACAAAAACTAATGTAAGGGATGTAAGTCACCTTTTTCTATATTATGAAGTCATTCTGTTAAAGATGTGCATATCTTTCTGACACCTCTTTAAAGCTTTTACATATTTTTGCCCCAGCAGCACTTTAGTGATCCTGATTGCCTTACATTTACCAGAGGAATTATTCTTTGAGTGATTCTGAAAAAAGCCTCTCCACAAAGTAGAGGAGATCTGTTAGTAAAACTAAAGCTGATAGGTACATATTTGTAGGTATATGCATGCATGCATGTGTGATCATACTTATTCAATAATACAAAATGCTGATGCATATAATTTTTTGATAAAAATAAGGTTACAAAATTATTCTCTGTAATGTACATATGTATTTACTTGTCAAATCTCTTTTCTAAGCTTTTGAATCTATTGGCTAATTTCAATCAAATTTGAGAGAGGTAAAAGTGATATCAAATAGTCTGTTCTCTCAAGTTTTTGTTTAAATAGGGACTTGGATTGAGACAAAGACTAATATTGACTGTAATTAGTACTACTTATTATCAAGTGAAAAGGGCAGGTGTTATCAGAATTCATAAAGGAGAAAGATACTATGAATATCAAAGCTAGGCAAAAACCTTTACTGTAAATTTGAGAAAAAAAACCAAAACACTCCTTGGGCAGGAACTCTATTCCATGTATATTTTTCAGTGTTAAAGAGAAGCTGAAATCACACCACAGCCTTGCCATAATTCAGCTAAGATGTCAACAATGAAAGAAATTCACTGGCATTGTTGGTTCCATCACTTATGGAACTATCCTCAGCAAGAAATGATACATTTAGTACCTCTTTCCTTCTCAAGATATGAAAACACTTGATTGAAGAAGAAATGCTGCTGCACAAAATCTACTACAATTAAGAAACTAATTTTGCTTCTAATCATAAAACTGGCTACCATGATTCTTTCTGGAAGACCATCAATAACAAAGTAAAATTTGGCAGGCAGTAAAACTGAAAACTATGACTCAGATGGACAAATAGGTCAGTGAAATTTAAAAAACCCACACAAACATATATCTCTACCTACCTGAGAGTCATTTAATATTAATTTATTTTTAAGCTTAGAAATAATCTTTCTCTTACCTTTTGGTTTTGGAGGACAGCATTTGATGAACTGGAAAATTATGCTGTCTGAACGGACAGTTTCTGTCTGGTAACAGGTCAACAGATCCTTAAGATTACCAAAACTTCTCTTTGTTCCACTAAGATTATATTCTCCATTCTCATTCTTCGTAATTAAGCAGTGCTTATAATCAGTGGTATTCTCACGCTGCAGAGATTTTTTCCATGAAAAATAAAATTTATCAATATTTAGTATTTAAAAGCTTATATAAATGTATAGCACTCTACTAATTAAAGAAAGAATGCTTTAGCAAAATATTACCATAATTTGTTATTTTGTTCTTGCTATGTAATATTTTTTCTGAGAAAACATGATTCTACTCCCCATCACTGGAATTAGGATGCTGATGCTAAGACAAAGCAAATGTTATGAAATCGGCAAAGATGGATCACGGAAAACAGATGATGGATCCTAGGAAAAATCCTTCAGAGCTAGTAATAATAGCTTCTTCACTCTTACATGGGGGTAATAGCAAAACAAAATTTTGTTGGAAGCAATAGCCCAAATGCTCATACTCCGTGTTGTTTTGGACATTTCAGCTGTATTTCTATTTTTCTGCCATCTACAGTGCAGTTCTAAGCAATTAGTTCCTAGCACAAATTTTCAATATGCACTATTTTTATAATGAGCCTTGAAAAGATCCCATTAAACATTTTTAAACAAGAGAAGCTCTTAATAGTGCTTTCAAGGTCCTTCATGTCAACACTGTGGAAAATGTTCCAATAACTTCTGAATTTCCAAAGCTTTCTAATGACTTGTCCTGAAAGAATCAGAACTGGACAGAAAAAACCAAACCCAAACATGGCTAGATCAGGTCAGGCTTAACTCTCAGACTTTAACTCGCTAAACTTGCTCAGGGACTGATCTCTTAGTCTAAAAACTTCCTTATCAAAGACACTTCAATGACTGGACATAAAATTTTTGTGAAATTGATCTTAAAATGGCTTCTCTATCCACACAGCAACATTATTTTGTCATTTTCAGAGAGGTGCATATCTCCGACACTATTTAATGAACTTGTTAGCTTGCTGCAAACCAGCAGGAAAACCCATGTATTACCTTCCCTCATTAAAAACCCAAAGGGTGCTCTGTCATTTAAAAAGAATCCCATGCTTGGAACAAGATCACGCAATTATGTAACAGCAATATTAAAATACTGTATTATTATTAACTGCAATCTCACAGAGAAGAGGTACATCTGGTTCTTCAGCTGCATGAGAATTGCAGGCATTTCAAGGGTGGCTCCCACTCTAGCTAACACCAGATATCTAGCAGGAGATCTGTGTTGACCTAACAGCTGCCAAATAATCTGGCTGGCCCAGCACTAGGGATGGGGACAGGACCCAAACCCAGAACCACCTGTGAGGGAGAGACACTCTCAGATCACTGAGGGCTGTATAGTCAGTCTAAGCCCTGTTTCGGTGGGTGGGCTATGGAGGGTAGAAATCCCAGGAAAAAAATCCAACTACAAAACCCAAACCTTAAAAAAAAAGAAAAAAACCAAACTGCGCCATTACCCAAACACTTATTGCTGTCCCAAGAGCCATGTCACCATCCCCAGAACTGTCAAGCTCTCTTCCCTCCACCTATCTTGTTCTCCCAAGCACATAGCACGTGTCATTACCAATTCTTTACCATACAAGTATTGTAATGTTTCTCCTAAGACCCTGAACATTGGTCAATTTGATGGAAGTAGCTACACATCAGACAAACATTCTGAAGAGAAAATTCAGAATCATTTACTGAACATCCCATGCTCATTATTATAACACAATGAATATTGTACAGATACTAAGGCAGAATACAAACCTCTATAGCAAAGGTGAGGAAGTATTTTTTGAAATCTTTAGGACTGCAACGAAGAACGTAGAAACCAGTCTGATTACCCGCTTTCTTCAGTTTACTGATAGCAAAGTCCATGCTATAGTAAAAACAAAATGTTTAATGTTGCATAATTTCAAAATCCAGGAACATCAGTGATTGGCCAATGAGCACTATTATCAGGTATCTAATACAACAACACTTCAAACTCTTAAAGGAAGCTGTAAAAAATTGAAAAAATTAAGTTAAACTTTTTGTCCCTTTGTTTTCCAATATTTAGGGTGGCTGCTTATGCAGAGAGCAGTACATAAAAATTCTTAATACTGAATACACCACAATTTTATTTGATGACAAATCTTAGAGCCTAAAAAAGTATATACCCTTAGGCTTATGATATGACTTTCAACATCGACTAAGAAAGAAGCTGTAATAAAACTGTCTAAAAACCAAGCTAAAACTAGCAAAATATTTGTGTGGGTAGAAAATGTGGGTTTAACTTGGGAAAGGTGTAACAAGAAAGAGGAGCTGAAAATAAAAATCATTTCTTACTACAAGAACCAATTTTCCCTTAAACAAGCCTTGCTAACTGGTGATTTCTATCCACCTCAGGGAATGAGGAACAAAATGGCTTGGAAAGGTCTAGATTCATTGCAAATCCTTCTAAGCAGCCCTAAATAAAGGTCAATACACAGCGTAATTCATTAGTGCAAGAAATGTGATTAGAACTGTATAGCTCTACATCCCTCTCCTCCATCTCTTGTGAAGGTTATGGCACCTATCCTCTTTCTGTCATTGTGAAATTTACAGAATAGTTCTGTATCAGCTGGGTAGACAATGCTAGTTTCATGCAACATACCTTGCATATATCAGCTTTCAAGCTTTCTGTAGCTAAAGCAAATACTCATTTAATGCAGCCTAACAAAACATTTCTAAGCTCCCAAGTGCACTTCTGCAAACAATAAACAACACTATATAAGCTATATATATATAAAAAAATCAAATCAATGAAGGTACTAAATTCTTCCTCTAAAAAACCCCCAAACCAAACAAAGCAAGCAAACAAGGAGGCAACATTCCTTAAAAACAAACTCTCCAATTTATATGGCTAGTAGTTTACTGCAATCCTTGTTCAAGTATTGAGGATACTGTTAATCTAAATTTTCCTTTTTCCCCCTTGACAACCCATCTAATATAACTGCTAAAGGCTGCAGGAAAACATGAGATCCTCTGTCTATGAAACTGTATGTTGCTGCCATGGTAGTAACTGTAATTCTGTATAATCAGCATCATGACTTTGCTGCCTGTATCTCTTGAAGAGAAAAAGAATTCTAAGGGAAGAAAATTCAAGCCTGGATCTTTCAATTTATTTTTTTATAATACGTCAAGAATGCATTGTATTTTGTAAAATGAAAAATAAGAAAAAAGTAAAGCATTTTGTTACATAAATGTAATAAATACACACTTCAAGATGTCCATCATGTTTCACAGTCAACTAAAGTTCATCTTTCAAAAAGAATATCACCTTGTTATATTGCTAAAAATTGCTTACAAAATTGGTCCATGGCAGTTGCTTTGGATATTTTCAAGGACTGATGGTGGTGCTACTTCTTTACAGAGATAATGGTGTGCATCCGCAGTTAATCTGTAATATCCATCAATTAATGATACAAAGGAGAGAGCTTCTCTTAATGACTGAAATTCAGCCTCCTGTTAAATTTCCATGGTAGAATGGGACAAGGGAAGAGAGAGAGAATGAGAATTTCAGTTTTTAATAGGCACACAAAATTCCTGAATATGGTAATGGTATAAAAGATATAAATATATGCATACATTAAAGACATCCAGACTGTTTTTAATTACTGTTCATATAGTTCTACCTTCTTGGTGCCACCTAGAACTTGTTATGAAATCTTCAATGTTCGAATAAACCCAAACCAATTTGCTGTAAAAAAACCCTCTTACTCTAAATATATGAAACAGCAGAGGAATGCTGACAAGAGGGAAGATTTGAAAAGGAAAAACTGAGTACATACACCTCAGCATGGCAGACACCTACTGCACTGGCATCACAGTGCTACTTTTTTCCTAAAGGAAAGCCTTCACTTATCAAAGATTTATAGGGCTGCCTTCAAGTAGCAAACAAAAATCTCTAGAAAAGTACCTGCCTGAAAATTTAACTAGTAGTCACCAAAAACTGGCATCCTCAGCTGGATCATAGATAGAAAGCTGACCTTTACCTACTATGAAAAGAGGTGCAATGGATGGAAGCAGGGAGAATAATAATGTGGTCAAAGGAAAACGGGGTGTGGAAAAGGTCTATGCAGAATACGTCGAACTGGAAAGAACAGGGCAAAATTAAATCCATCTGTAACAACACATTTATTACTGCCAATAAAGGAAAATAAGAGTATTTTAATGTAATTATCTGTATTTTCTTAATAGTTTGACAGTTGTATGAGAACATTAAAGGCTGTCTTTACTTCAGCAGAGAAGTGTTACTCTATCATCTACAGAGTCACACTAGATTTCATCCAGCAGCATAGACCAACAGAACAGAGTTTAGTACTTGTTGCACAAGTTTACCCATGACACGAGGGACACACTTTGTGGCTGAACACAACTCCTTGGCAAATTCTTTACTAGACAGCAATAAAAACAGCTGGTGCTTTTGATTACATGCTAAGAATATGAAGTCCTCAAACTCCTTATTAAAAGAGGACCTGGAAACAACTATCTTCCCAGTTGTTTCAACATGATCAGAAAACCCCCACAAACAGAAGACCTAGAAATCCAGTCATTTTCATCAATCCATGTATCCTAAAACTGTGTAAAGTACATTTCTATAATGAATTCCACTAGCTGTGTAACAGGTTAAACTAAATCCCAAATTCTAATTTACACCTCAGCTAATTCTGGCATGTAAAGTGTCCACGCACAAATCATAAGCAAAATGGCAGCTACTGCACTTTCCCCTACACTGTCTTACTCTTCAGTAGCCTCTTTATACAAGCTCTTAAAGTAATTTTTACCCACAGAAGCACAGGCAGTCAAGCACTTAACTACCACTACTGAGAATTTTTGAGGAGAATTTTAATGACTCAAAATTAAGGAAGCCTCCTCCACCAATCCAGAATATTGTTATCCTCTCAGTATCATAGATGCACATCACAGATGAAACAGCTACTCTAATGTTTCAATAAAAAGCCTTGAAAAAATTTCAAATTCTTAACAGGTGTTTGATTCTGTGCCATTCATGCAGTACATGAATATGAATCACAATTCTACTATAAATGAAAGTAAACCAAATGCATTTTTTAAAAAAGCATCATTAGAGACAATAAAACCAGTTAATGCTTATTGAAATATTTTTTTTTAATTTTTAAAAATTATTTTTACCAAGAAGTAGTACAAAATCTGTACGCAGCTTTTTCGCACACAGAGAAGGAAGCTCTCTGGTCACACAAATGTCTGAGGTGGGGAGCCCTGAAGGCCCACAGATCAGTCACAGAGACAAATGAGGAAACAACTTGTACTGGCCTTGCACGGCAAGGTTTTGGTAGTGGTGGCTTCTGTGAGAAGCTGCTAGAAGCTTCCCCCATGTCTGACAGAGTCAATGCCAGCCAGCTCCAAGACAACACGTCATTGGCCAAGGCTGAACCCATCAGCAATGGTGGTAGCACCTATGGGATAACATTTAAGAAGGGGAAAAAGTGGGTGAGGAACAGCAACAGCAGCCACAGAAGATGTGGAAAAAACAACCCTGCAGACACCCAGGTCAGCGAAGAAGGAGGGGGAGGATGTGCTCCAGGCACCAGAGCAGACATTCCCTGGCAGTCCCTGGAGAAGACCATGGTGAGGCAGGCTGTTCCCCTGCAGCCCATGAGGGTTAATGGTGGAGCAGATATCCACCTGCAGCCCATGGAGGACCCCACACCAGAGCAGGTGGATGCCTGAAGGAGGCTGTGACCCCATGGGAAGCCCGTGTTGGAGGAGGCTCCTGGCAGGACCTGTGGCACCATGGAGAGAGGAGCCCATACTGGAGCAGGTTTGTTGGCAGGACTTGTGACCCCGTGGGGGACCCACTCTGGAGCAGTCTGTTCCTGAAGGGCTGCACCCCGTGGGAGACACCCACGCTGGAGAAGTTTGTGGAGAACTATCCCACGGGAGGGCCCCCATGCTGGAGCAGGGCAGGAGTGTGAGGAGGAAGGAGCAGCAGAGACAACATGTGCCAAACTG